TGACCACGTCTGAACTCACCAATAAAATTAACATCATAAAATGTGGAACATTATGTACTTTCTCTTGTGATGCAATAGCACATAGTACCACCTAGAATATATTTTTGCAAAAAAAAATTGAGTCTTGAATATTATCAAGCTTCTAGAGCTATTGTCAGGAGGGATCAAAGAGTTTGTGAAAGGGTGTCTTGAGGGTGCCATTGGCCAAATTCTGTGGGAAATTCTGCAGATGAACAAATATCATTAAAGGGAGTGGGGAGAGAAGGAATTGGTATACTCAAAAGATATGTTGAGAGAAATTCAAAAGACATGTTGGCCAAATGCAATGTGTGGACTTTGTTTGGATCTTGATTCAAGCAAGCCAAAAGCAAAAATACCTTTCAGGGATAAGTGTGGAAATTTTAACACGGACTAGGTATTAGGTGATGCAGGGGCATTATTATTAATCTTACAAGGTGTAATAATGATTCCATGGTTAGCTGTTGGGTATACCTACTAAAGTGTTTACAAGTTAAATTAAACCATATCTGGGGTTTCCTTTAAAATATTCCAGTGACCATCATGCAGGGTAAGGGAAGAATGTTGTGGAAATCCAGAGATGAAACAGTGTTGATAAGTCTTGGAAGTAATAATGGATGGATACATGGGGTGGGGGTAAATATGCTATCTCCCCTACTTTGGGATATATCTTCCATTATAAAGAACTGGGGTTTTGTTCTGTTGAATTTTACATAGGCTGTATCCACACATATCCCAGCTCTTCTAGGCTGTTCAACAGAAGTATTCCCTCCCTGATCCACATGGAGACCACATGTTCAGTGTCTGCAGGGCAACAGGAGAGAAATGAGTCAAGGGTTAAGAAAACAGCAAAGCAAGCAGGTGAAAGAAGTGGCAGCTGGCACCCACCCCTGTGCTGGGGCTTCATGGAAAGCGGGGGGACCCTAGAGAATGGAAGATCACATGCCCAATCCAAAGAGGGCAGCTAACATTGCCATGTGGGAATAGGGGCCCCAGATGGTCAACTTTTCTGATTTTTTATTAGAAAGTTGAAATCTGGACGTTTCAGTAAAATCTCCCAATATGTAGGCCAATGATGAAAAATGTTTCAAACGCCTGGTCAGTCAGTGCTAGAAAGCCAAACAAAACCTCTCAGGAGGCTAGATTTGTTCCACAGGCTGCTGTTTTGTGATCTCTGACACCACACCATGTAATGCATTATACAGTGCTGTGACGCATTAATAATTGTTGACATTTTTACCAGTTGGGTCACACGCTGGGACAACTGAGGTTGCATACATCTGAAATCCCCAGATCCTTTACAGGCAAACAGCTGTCAAGCCAGGCATCCCCGGACTGCGCTCTGAACTGAACACAGGCACACAATTATCTCTATCAAATTGCATATTGTCAATTGTCAGAAACATTTGTCTCTGGATTGTCTCTACTTGTCCTCCAAATTCTATTGAATTTGCAGTCCCGAGCAGCTTTGCAGCGAGCACCACAAGCCTGTCTTCATGCAAAGTAAGTACAAAGCTAATGCTAGCCTGGGGTGTGTCATGCTTCTCTCCTGCTAGAGCTCTCCAACTGTTCACCTATAATTTCGCCCTCCCTTCCGATTTCATCCACCACGTATTTCTACATCTTCTGCATTAAAGCCATGCTACATCATACACAGGACTAATCCACCAATCTTGTGGCATTAATAATGCCACCTCCTCCCATCTGCATAGCACTGTATGGTTTTTAAAGCATTTTCCCATAATATCCCCACTTGATCTTTGTTACCTATCACAATCTTTAAAAATTCGATCAAAGTCACATTAAGATGTTGGACTACAAATCTGCCAGTAGTCTGTTTTTTTGACCCATTACTGATTTCCTAGAAGGGGATTTCTAGGGCAAATAGAGAAAGGGCAACTAATTTCACTTCCTTCCTTCCCACCTCACCATTTAACCAGAAAATAGGTCCCCAAACCACCACTGTTCCAGCAATACCCAAGAGGGACAGAAACAATATTTAAGACAAAGTTCTAACCTTGAGAGTTGACAGAAAGTAGAATGGGTTGCCTTATGAAAAAAAAGACATTTTGATACCAGAAATTTTCAAATGGGAGCTGGGGTTTTGTAGAAGGGATTTTTTTAATTTATTTATTTCTGAGAGACACACAGAGCAGCAGAGAAATGGGCAGAGAGAGAAGAAGCAGACTCCCTGTGGCAAGCCTGATGCATGACTTGATCCCAAGACCCCGGGATCACCACCTGAGCCAAAGGTAGATGCTCAACCACTGAGCCACCCAGGTACCCCCTAAAAGGGATTCATTCTGACTTGGATGGGAAGTTAGGCAGAATGATCTTACATTCATTTATTTCTGTCCATGTGGAGAAACTGCTGGGTGCTCAGCTCTCAGAAGTCTCTGAACAGGGACACCTGGGTGGCTCAGCGGTTGGGTGCCTGCCTTTGGCCCGAGGCATGATCCTGCGGTCCCGGGGTCGAGTCCCGCATAGGGTTCCCTGCATGGAGCCTGCTTCTCCCTCTGCCTGTGTCTCTGCCTCTCTCTCTGTCTTTCATGAATAAATAAATAAAATCTGAACAGTTCTTGCAGTGAGTACCCTCGAACAGTCAGAAATATACACTTGGCCAGTCTGATCCTTTTTATGCTTTGTATATTTCAAAATTAATTCCCTTTTAAACAACACTTTTCAGCAAGTGTTCCTATAAAAGTGCCAACCTTTTCACCATTGTCCAAAAAGGAAGAGAATTCATACGATGGCGTATTAATTACCTTATAAAAAGAAATCAGGTACTGATACAGGGTAGGACACGGTGAATCTTGAAAGCATTAAATGGACAAAGGACCACAGGTTCTTTTTTTTTTTTTAATTTTATTTATTTATTTACGATAGTCATACAGAGAGAGAGAGAGAGGCAGAGACACAGGCAGAGGGAGAAGCAGGCTCCATGCACTGGGAGCCCGTCGTGGGATTGGATACCGGGTCTCCAGGATCGCGCCCTAGGCCGAAGGCAGGCGCCAAACCGCTGCGCCACCCAGGGATCCCAGGACCACAGGTTCTATGATTACAGTACAACTTCCTTCAAAATTGAAATCAGTCTTCTCAGACTGCTGCTGCTGCTCTATCAAGCAGGTCTATGTAATATTCTGAATCCTTTATTGTTATTTCAACAGTGGTCATAGCATCTTTACCAGGAGTAGATTTTTTTTTAATTTTTATTTATTTATGATAGTCACACACACAGAGAGAGAGAGAGAGGCAGAGACATAGGCAGAGGGAGAAGCAGGCTCCATGCACCGGGAGCCCGACGTGGGATTCGATCCCGGGTCTCCAGGATCGCGCCCTGGGCCAAAGGCAGGCGCCAAACCACTGCGCCACCCAGGGATCCCCCAGGAGTAGATTTTTACCAGGACTTCCATATGAAAGTCCACAGGACGGAAATGTATAGAGATAGAAAGTAGATTCCTGATTGCTTAGGGCTAGAGTGGGGAGCTAGGGCAGTGATAGCTCCAGGAAATGGGGTTTCTTACTGAGGTGCTGAAAATGTTCTAAAATTGACCCTCGTAATGGTTACACACCTCGGTGAATATACTAAAATCCATTGAATTATATACTTTAAAATGGTATGCAAATCATTTCTTAAAACTTTAATGTAAGCAATTATTATTATTATTATTATTATTATTATTATTATTATTATTATATAGATACTTGTCTCCAGGCCTAGGCTAGATTTCCCACCATCTGCTGAGGATGAATGAGCCTGTGAGCAAAAGGCTCCCCCTGGGAGGGGCCTGGCCCTGGGTTAGGTGGGTTAGGTGAGGAGGGCAGACTTTCTGGCATTGCAGTGGGCGTGGGGCTCTCCATCCCATTCCAGGTAGTATTTCCATCCCAGGATTTAACTACCAACCTGTCCATAAAAGCAGCAGAAACCACTCTTCGGGGAGAACGCGTGTGGGACGACTGTCACCCGACTAAACTTGTCCCCTGCTCCGCCCACACCTCTGCGGATGTGGGGCACCCATCCCACCCCAAGGCAAAGCAGCCCCCGCGCTTCGGAGGAGTGTTTCCGTGCTGGCTGCAAAAACCAGACGTCCTGTCCCTCCGGGAGGGCTTCTGAAGCTGGCATCGGTGGACGCATCAAAGGACGTCCCCAGAAAACGTCTGCTCTCGGGCCCGCGGACCGCGCTAGTGCAGACGGACGGCGGGGAGAGGGGCACGCCCAGGGCACGGTTCCCAAACTCTGCCCGTCCGCCCCGGAGGCCTGTGCGCCCGGGGAGGCGGGGAGGCCCGCGGTCTCGGGGTGTCTGCAGCTGCTCCACCTCCGTCCCACGCGCCAGGAGGGGTCGCCCGGCTCGCACCCGCCACCCAGCGACGCCGCGCCTCGCCCCACGGGGCCCGGGCTGGGGCCAGGGGGCGGGGGACGGGGGACGGGGACCGCGACCTGGTCCGGGCGCAGGCGCCAGGAGCTGGGGGCACGCCCGCCAGGTTGGCGACCTCGGTGCCCGGGCGGACCCCCCCCCCCGCCCCAACCCCTACGGTGCGGCGCCCCGGGCTCTGGCTCTCCCCTCCACACAGCCGGTACCGTGGCGGGGACTGGGTGCCGTTAAAGGAAAGGCCGGGGAAGAGAAGCAGGAGGAAGCGGGTTCGCAGAGGGCCCGGCTCGCGCGGCGGGGTGGTGCGTGGGGGCAGCAGGTCGCTCGCACGGCGGGTAAGAAGCTCCAGGGCGAGCCGCTCCCTGCCGGCGGCGGAGCGACCGGCGCACGCAGGCAGCGACGCGAGCTGGGCCGGCTAAAGAGAGACTGACCGGCGCCTTTGGGCGAGGAGATAAAAGGGGGCGGCGGTGTCCAAAAGGGTCGTGCTCCAGGTGAGGCTCGAACTCACAACCTCGGCATCGCTCTGCATGTACTGCTGTATAAGTACCGCGCGCTAACCGATTGCGCCACTGGAGCTCCGCTGAGCCGGCCTCGCGATGGCTCTATCAGGGTTCACCCAGGCCCGGTGCGGGCTCCGGCGGAGCATGCGCACTCGCGGCTCGCGGCTCGCGGCTCCGCGGGCGTGGGCTCCGGCCGCGAGGCGGCGGCGGCGGGCGCCGCGGCCCCGGGTGGCGCGGGCGGGGGGTCCCGCGGGGGTCCCCCCCGGGGACGGAGGGCAGGTTGGCGGGGCCGCGACCGCCAGGCCACCGGGCCGTTGGGGGGCGCACGGGAGGAGGAGCCGCGGCCGCCGCGCCGGCTCCTCCCGGGAGTTTCCGTCCGCGAGCGGGCGCCGCGGGAGCCGGCGGGCGGGCGCAGGGCAGGGGCCGCTTCCCGGGGCCCGCGGGACCCGCCGCCGCGCCGCCCTGCAGGCCCGCGAGCCGTCGGCGGGGAGCCGGGCGGCCCCGGGCGGGGCGGGGGCGGGGGCGGGGCCTCGGCCTCCCAGCCCGGCCCGCCCCCGAGGTGCCGCGCGGTCCCTGGGCCGCCCGAGCGCAGGCACCAGCGCGTCCCCGAGGCCGCTCCGGGGACGGGACCGTAGCCCGCACCTGCGGCAGGTGCAGACTCAGCCCGCGGGCTTTGCTGGGCCACTACACGTTTGTTTTCGTTTTAAAACGAGTTCCCAGTATTTAAAAATCAAGAGGTTTGGATACCCCATTTCTTAAAAAAAAAAAAAAATAGACAATGTCACACTGTACCTAGAGCCTAATTATAACTTTCGTCTTCCTGGACCCCTTCCTCCATTAAAAAAAATTTTTTTAATGGTATTTTATTACGGCAAAATAAAAATACATATAATTCAGGCTGGATTTGTTGTTACAATATTATTTTTCCTTCTGATTTCAAAAGAATTTAAAATGTGAGCATTCTGACGGGCTCTAGACACTGTGCCTGCTGTCCCTCGTTGATAACTCCGCGGGACACCCGCGTCCCCCTGCGAGGTCAGCTGCAGCCACCTCGCTGCACAAAGCAGACACCACCCTCCCCGTGTCTTCCTCCAGGGCTGCCACCCTGGATTGTCTGCTGGGCCTCTGTTGGCATGTTGGTCACCCCGTTTGGTTGACCAGAGCCGGAAGAACAAACAACAGAACGCTGTGATAATAGGCTGGGGAACTGCTAGGAGCAAGTGATGGGAGACAGAATAAAGATCACGTATGTAGTCACTCTGACGGTGACTGCTCAGTCACAGCTTGTGGTAGGGTGACCGTGCCAAACAGCAGGATTGTATAGAGGCTTCAGATTCAAGCGGAATCAATCAGACTGACCGGGCAGGCAATGAAGAGGCAGTAACAGGCCCCTGCCTTGAACATGGTGTTGGTAGGAAGCTCAGGGCCCTGTGCCTGCTGGGTTATCCGCCCAGAGGAGGTAAGCGAGGTGCTCCAGATAGTTTTGAACAAGAGCAAGAGCTCAGAAAGGAGGATGGTCAACACAGCTGCAGGATCCCATGAGGCACCAGGTGGGCGGTGGGATGCAGGTTGTTTACAACACAGCAGGATTAGGGCTTCTTGGAGCATGCCTGGCCAAGTCCACGGTACATCCAGGACAGCAGAGAGTGAGACTTTGAAACAAATAAGTTGGAACAGGCTGTGAAGGTAATTGCATGGTTTCCCTGAGGTGGGAATGCTTTTTAAAAAATTTTAAATTTTATCTGTTTATTTTTAAATGTTTTTTTCTTTTAAGGTTTTTTTTTCTTTTCTTCTTTACTAGATTGCCAATTTGTTACAACAGGATACAACTCAGGAACAGCCAGGTGGAAGAGATAAATAGGGCAGGGTGTGGGGGAATAAGTAACCTTATTTTTTAATTTTTTTCTTTTTTTTTTTTTATTTATGATAGTCACAGAGAGAGAGAGAGAGAGAGAGGCAGAGACACAGGCAGAGGGAGAAGCAGGCTCCATGCACCGGGAGCCCGACGTGGGATTCGATCCCGGGTCTCCAGGATCGCGCCCTGGGCCAAAGGCAGGCGCCAAACCGCTGCGCCACCCAGGGATCCCTTTTTTTTTTTTTTTAATTTTTTTTAATTTTATTTATGATAGTCACAGAGAGAGAGAGAGAGAAGTAACCTTATTTTTAAATAATCTCTACACCAGGTGTGGGGCTTGAATTCACAACCCCAAGATCAAGACTTGCATGCTGCACCGTTGGAGCCAGCCAGGCGCCCCAGATTTTGAATTTTAAATTGAAAAGGGTTAATTTCCTGGGAAACAAAGTAAGTCATGGACCTATACATAGTGTCTTCTCAAATACAGTAGCATCTGCAGAGTCTGCTCTTCCGGCCTCCAAGTCCCTCAGGGAGAACACACCTGGTAAACCCTGAGCAGCAACGTTGGCCTCAGGTGATCCACCTTGCCTCTCACTTCTCCCATCCTGGATCTCCTCTTTTGTTGGTTCAGCAGGTATTAACTGATCCTGGTTGCATGGGAGGGGAAGACAGCACCCCCTATGGACTTTGGAAACTAAAATAGCTTAATCCCCAAGGAGAGTGGGGCTGGGAAGGAAGCATCTAGTAAAGGCAGTGCAGAACGTGGAGAGGGGGGCAGTGTCAGGACATCTGCTACCCGAGAGATTTTTCCAGCAAGAAGTCTCTAGAGACCTTCAAATCACTTAAACTCCACAGACTGACTCTGAAGAGCCATGAATTAAGAGTCTGACCCATGACCCTCCCTGGTTGTGTGACCTTAAGTAAATCTCTTACCCTCTCTGGACCTTAGCTTCCTTCATAATCTAGGGGATCTAGGGGCACCTGAGTGGCTCAGTGGTTGAGCGTCTGCCTTCGGCTCAGGTCATGATCCTGGCATTCCGGGATCGAGTCCGCATCGGACTCCCCACAGGGAGCCTGCTTCACCTTCTGCCTAGGTCTCTGCCTCTCTCTGTGTGCCTCTCATGAATAAATAAATAAATAAGATCTTTTTAAAAAAAAATCTAGGGGATCTAGACCAAATAAGAGCTTTCCCGCCTATCTCGATTGGAGAACTCTTTTTATCATGTATATACTTCCCAACACCTTGAGATTATTAATCATTTAATAATTTTTGTGATGTATATGTTATTTTTAAAATAAAATTCTAAAAAAGTAAAATATAAAACATTTGATATGTATGTATAACTTTTTTTTTTAGTTTTTATTTATTTACGAGAGACACAGAGAAGGCAGGCTCTCTGTAGGGAACTAATGTGGGACTCTATCCCAGGACCCCAGGATCATGACCTGAGCCAAAGGCAGATGCTCAACCACTGAGCCACCCAGGTGCTCCTGTGTAACTTTAAAACAATCTCAAGTAATGCCTACAGTATAAAGGCTAGTCTCAACCTATTTCCATGTGCCATGTAGTTGCAAAATTGATTTACCTTATTTATGTAAGGAAAAATCATGCTTTGTTAACAAATAACTTTCTAGAAGTTTTAATTTAAATTCCAGTTAGCTAATATACAGAGTAATACTAGTTTCAGGTGTACTACCACCAGTAGTTAAGGTTCTGTTTCTTGGTTTGCCTCTCTCTCTCTCCTCTCTTTTTTCCCTCTTTGCTTATTTGTTTTGTTTCTTAAGTTCCACATATGCATAAAATCATATGGTATTTGTCTTTCTCTGACTGATTTATTTAACTTAGCATAATACTCTCTGACTCCATCCATGCCGTTGCAAATAGCAAAAAGATTTCATTCTTTTTTTATGGCTGAGTGATACACTCATAAATATACACTACTCTTCTTTACCCATTCATCAGTCAATGGGCTGTTCCATAATTTGGCTACTGTAGATAATACTGCTATAAACAGGGATCCCTGGGTGGCGCAGTGGTTTAGCGCCTGCCTTTGGCCCAGGGTGCAATCCTGGAGACCCCGGATCGAATCCCACATCGGGCTCCCGGTGCATGGAGCCTGCTTCTCCCTCTGCCTGTGTCTCTGCCTCTCTCTCTCTCTCTCTCTCTCTGTGTGTGTGACTATCATAAATAAATAAAAATTAAAAAAAAATACTGCTATAAACATCAGGGTACATGTACCCCTTTGAATTAGTATTTTTATTTTCTTTGGGTAAATACCTAGGAGTGCAATTGCTGAATCATAGGGTAGTTCAATTTTTAACTTTTTGAGGAACCTCCATACTGTTCTCCAGAGTGACTACACTAGTTAGCATTCCCACCAACAGTGCTGTTTAGCAAATAACTTTTAAAAGAACATTTATATTTGATACTGGCACAAATGTATATTAAAGTGTATGAAATTTAATGAGTCATAGCATCAAAAACAGACAAAAACTGCTTTTCTAAATGAATGTTTGGAATTCATGCTTCTTGCACTTTAAGAAAATGCATTTATTTTTATTACTTTCATGTTTTTGTGTCCAAACAATGAGATAAAACAGACAGGTTCAGGCTACTATATACAAGCACCACTCTGCAAATATTATGAAGTGGGCCTGGCTCATGTTTATTCCTAATAATGAAAGACTGTATTGGATAGAATGGTCACTCTATTTTCTTTTTTGGCTTTGGTTTCTGACATAGAAGAGATATCAGGATGAGCCAGATAAACATTTTAATCAGCTGGATGCAATGTGCATGTCTAGCAAATGAAGATCATCTTGAGTCATATTGTAGAGTTTTCATGTTATGGTCTTCATTTGCTTTATTTCAGCAAACTTTTCACATTTTTTATTTTTAGCCAGCATTCCAATATAAGCGTATACTAAGCAGTATAGGACTAAAAAAAAAAAGTTGCCATGGAGTAGTCAAAACTCACATAGAAAAAAAAAAAGAAAAAAAACTCACATAGGATCCATGGGAGTGGCTGAGTCATATGCACACATCTGCAGGTGCTGGGAGGTTCCCACAGTGATCCCATTTTTGTGGGGCAAGAGATTGTCTGAAGAATTACTTATTTAAAAAAAAAAAGATTTTATTTATTCATTTGTAAGAGAGAGAGAGTGCACGCAGGCATGTGCTGGAGGGAGAGGTGGAGGGAGAGGGAGAAGCAGACTCCCTGCTGAGCAGGGAGCCCACCCAACCCAGGGCTGGATCCCAGGACCCTGGGGTCACAGTCCAAGCCAAAGGCAGACACTTAACTGACTGAGCTACCCAGGCGCCCCCAAGGAATTACTTTAATTACTTTTTTTCAAATTAGAAATTTAGAAGATGCGCTGCCACCGGTAACAGTGCAGACCACCTTGAATGCCTTCCAGAACCCCTGAGATCAGGGAGCTTCTGAGATCCCCTCTTATGCTAATTAGCCCACAGTCCTCTCCAGCACCACGTGGGGAAATGGCCCTTTATTTTCCCTTAGGGGAGAAAGAAGTGTGGGTCCCATGGCCCAACCTCTAGGACAGTGTGATGCAGACTGAAGCGAATACACACAGGAGGGAGCCAGATAATTTGGGGAACCACAGATCCCTTCACTCTGGATTGAAGCTTTAGTGAAGACCTGATAAGAGCCCGTAGATGAGAAGAAACTTAAAAGACTGCTAACCCCCAACACTGGTAAGCGTGTGGCACATGGACACTGTTGTTTTTGTTTTTGAGACAGTTCAACAGAATCTCTCCAATGCATACATC